GAGGTTTTCAGTAAGAGGTTTCACTGTGGTGTCTTGAGAACCTTGCAACTGCAGTTTCTTGTTAGAAACATTTCAGCAGATTTATAGTTACCTGATTTACAAGGTCTGGTTTCAATCTTGTGAGTCTAAAAGGAGAAATGCCATTAAAAGAAATTAGGACCGAAGGAGTAGGAGTTGACAATTCAGCCCCTCAAGCATGTTCAACTATTCAATTAGATCAAGACATACTGCACCTCCCAGTCGCGAACCATTTCAATTCCCCCTCCCATTCCTCAGACGACATGTCCATCCTGGGCCTCCTGCAATGCCACAACGATGCCACCCGAAGGTTGCAGGAACAGCAACTCATATTCCGCTTGGGAACCCTGCAGCCCAATGGTATCAATGTGGATTTCACAAGTTTCAAAATCTCCCCTCCCCCTACCGCATCCCAAAACCAGTCCAGCTCGTCCCTGCCTCCCTAACCTGTTCTTCCTCCCACCTATCCCCTCCTCCCACCTCAAGCCGCACCTCCATCTCCTACCAACCAACCTCATCCCGCCCCCTTGACCTGTCCGTCCTCCCTGGACTGACCTATCCCCTTCCTAACTCCCTACCTACACTCACCTTTACTGGCTCCATCCCCGCCTCTTCGACCTGTTTGTTTCCTCTCCACCTATCCTCTCCGCTATCCCTCTTCTATCCGCCTCCCACTCTCTCCCTATTTATTTCGGAACCCCCTTCCCCTCCCCCTTTTCTGATGAAGGGTCTAGGCCCGAAACGTCAGCCTCTCTGCTCCTATGATGCTGCTTGGCCTGCTGTGTTCATCCAGCCCTGCACTTTGTTGTCTCAGTGAGTCCAATGCTGTTCAGCCATTCTCAATGAATGTGGGAAATGGATCTGAGGAGCTGGTTAACCTACTCCTGGTCCTATTTCCTTAGAACACAGTTGAAAAGATGGTTCTTCTTGAAGGACAATTTTCAACATGATTTATATGAGTTCAGACCTTTCCATGGAATGTTATTGAGATAACTCCCCAGAGGCTGGTATCCCATTACCATGTCACCCTTTATTTATACATGCATTGTACTTGGTCCAGCTCCCTCAGAGCCAGCTCTCAGAGTGAACAGAATCTCTGGCACTCCTGTTTATATCTGTCAGCCAGGGGTCCCTGATTGGATCAAATTAACAGCCCCAATCAGGGAACTCATATTCTCTGAGGTCAATCTGGCTGACCTCATTGCGGTCACTACAGTCCCTTGGTTTTTGTGGCTAATCTAGAGTTTATTAGTGTCCTCTTTTAAAGTCATTTGTTTATGACAGGCAGCAACAAAATATAATTGACTTAATATTTGAATCCCAGTTATCAAACTTTATGACCCACACAGCTCACTTCCAGTCTACAATGGAGAGATGTCAGTGCTATAAAATGATGCTTATAGCATAATGATGACTGCTCAATTGATGGGTGTGTGGGGTGTATTTGAAAGTGTCATGGTGAAAGATATGAGGCATAGCTGAGTGTGTTGGACTGAGGAGTACATAGAGTATTGAAGAGTGATAAAGTGAGGGATTTGTGGTATGTTGGAGTGTGTTGGAATGAAGTAAACAATGAAGAGGGCAGTAACAGACTGACAAAGTGGGCAGATAGGCCAGAGTGTGGATGAAATTTAACCTAGTGAAGTGGAAAGCAATTCACTTTGGCAGGATGAATGAGGAGTGGCAGTATGAACAAAACAGTGTAATTTTATAAGGGATGGAACCCTGGAGACAGGTTGTCCATCCTTAAGTCTCTGCAGGTGGGAAGACAAGTTGAGAAGCTTGCTAAAAAGACATTAGAGATCCTCAGCTTTGTAAATAGAGCCCTTGAGAGGAATTTTTCACCACTAACCCCTAACATCCAGGAAGCAAGTATTGGAGGGGTGTGATGCCTATCGCCCTTTATCTACCTCTGCTGGGATTTTGCCAATTGCTGGGCTAGGTATTGGGCAACTTTCCTGCCTTGGGCCATTAAAAGCCCTTAAGTAGCCAATTAATGACTACTTACCCCTACCTGCTAGCATTGGCATTTTAACAGCAGCAAGACGTGGTCATACCATATTGTCAGGGTGCCAGGTAACCTGTGATAACCTTGCTGTGGACTTGGGGAGGGAGGGGATGGCCCTTCTGCTTTGGCAATTTATGCCCAAGGCCCACCGCTTGCGCCCCCACGCTAATCTACCCTCCTGCAGTTCCAGCAGCATCCACTGCTCTCAATGGGCGCTGCTGAGACTAGAGAGCTGTCAGTCATCCGATTGAAAGCAGGAGATCCTGGTGATGGAAGGCATGACCTCAGGAGGTTAAATCCTTGACAACCATAAAGTCTGACAATGGCTTCCTGGACCTTGTAAGGAGGACTTGTCCCCAGCATTTCATCAAATGGGGGGGGTTACTACCTCTACAGAAATTTCTAACCCTTCAGTACAAAAGCAAACAACTTCTATAAAACGCTAATTACACGCCACCTAGAACATTGCAACCACTTTTGTGCCTCTCTCCTTAGGAAGGATATCTATGTGTTAGAGAGGGTGTAAAGTAGATTAACTGGAATGGTATGAACACTGAAAGACTGAAGTTAAATAGACAGACTGGAGAAGCAGTTGTCAAGCTGATTACAGAAGGTTATAGAGATAAAGATGTTGATTGAAGTGTTCAACATTGTGAATGATCAAGTCAATAAGTACCACATTTCCAGTGGTGGAAGGATCAGTAACCAGAGGTAATGTAGTTGGATTTAATGTAATTGGCAAAAGATTTAGAGCTGAAATCATTCATAAAATAACCATTAATTATTATATTTTGCCTGAAAGAGTGGTGGAAGCTGATTCAATAATCATTTCTGTGACCAGTCCCTATATATGTAACTCCAAAACTCCCTGAGAGACCAAAAATCTTTCTTTGTCAGATGTTCAATAGGGATTAGTTCTGGGGCCACCACTGTTTACAAAATATAATCATGACATCAATGACGGAAATGATTGTACAATCGTCAAGTTTGTGGATGACCCAAAAATAGTTGGGAAGGCAAATAGTGAGGATTACACAAAGAGTCTGTACAGCAACATAGACAAGTTAGGTTTTGATCCACTTATCTTAAGAAAGACGTACTGGCATTGGGAGCAGGCAAGAGAAGTTTAACTAGGTCAGTCCCTGGTACCGAGGAGTTTTCTTATGAGGAGAGGTTGAGTAGGTCAGGCTTGTACTCATTGGAATTTAGAAGAATGAGAGGAGACCTTATTGAAACATATATGATTCTTAGGGGGCTTGACAGGTTAGATGTGGAGAGGTTATTTTCCATTGTGGGAGTACATAATCTCAGAGTAAAGGGTTGCTCATTTAACACGGAGACGAGGAATGAAATTCTTCTGTCAGTGGGTAGTGAATCTGTGGAATTCTTTACTGCAGAGGGCTGTTGGGGTTGGTTGGTCAAGTATGTTCAAGGCAGATGCAGCGAGCTTTCTAATCGGTGAGGAAGTCAAAGGTCAAGGGGATAAAGCAGGAAAGTGGAGTTAGGGATTACCAGAACAGCCATGATCTCATTGAAGTATGGGGCAGAGTCAATAGGCCGAATGGCCTACCTCTGCTCCTACATGATATGGTCTTAAATAAACTTAACAATGCAGTATCTGCAACATTCTGGGATCCAGAATTCACAGATTCACAATCCCTTGAGTGAAGAGGTTTCTCCCATCTCAGCCCTTTTGTCTTCTCATCCTGAGACGGCACCCCCATGTTCTATATTCCCCAGCTAAGCAAATCAACCACTCAGTGTCCACTCCATCAAGCCCCTTCAGAATCTTGTACACTTTGGTGAGATCACCTCTCATTCTTCTAAACTCCAGAGAACCAGGACCCAACTTACTCATCCTCCCATCACAGGACAAATTCTCATCCCAGGAACCAGTCTAGTGAGCCTTCACTATAAATTTTCGACTTGTACATTTTACCAATTTAATTCAGTTTGGAACTTAACATGTCTATGTTGCTGTACAGACTCTTTGTGTAATCCTCACTATTTGCCTTCCCACCTATTTTTGGGTCATCCATAAACTTGACGATAGCTCAATCACTTCCATCATTGATGTCATTAATATATTTTGTAAATGATTGTGGCCCCTATTGAATGTCCGACAAAGACAGATTTTTGGCCCCTCAGGGATTTGCAGATGTAGGGAGTGGGGCAGCAAAATGAGAAGGAAGATCAGCCATGGTTGTGCTGCGCGGTGGAGCTAGCTTGAAGGGCCATATGACCCTCTCCTACTCCTACGTTGTATGTTAATCTTCTGTTTTAACATTGCACACCACACTGTAATTGTCTCCAATGTACTGCACAAGCATCCTCTCCAGTACAAAGCAGAATCTTAGAATGATACTACACTGAAGGAGGTGGTTCAGTTTATCCTGTTTGTGATGGCTGTTTGCTGGGAATAAGGTGGGATATATCCTCCAACAATGAACAACAGCGTTACCACACTCCCAATCCTTACAGCAATAGTGTCCCTTTAACTAGCCTTCAGTGCATCAAACATTCAACGGGTTACACAACAGAGACTCGATCACTAAGGTGCCAGTGAAAGATATCCACTCAACTAAATATCTGTGAACTTTTATTAAAGCAAACTCAAAAACCTGCTCAAATTGCACCATCTGGCCATTATATTGGTGTACGAGTGGACAGCTTGGCAAATGGAGACTAATGAAGTGGGACATTTCCAGCAATTTCCCTTGCACACTCTCTGTTTAAATGTGTCCCTTTAATTTATCTTGGTGTGCTGAAATGAACCCTCCAGCGAGGAAGTCCTTGTTAGAACGATGTGGTTTTCCAGACTTCTCTTCAGTTTCCCCGCCGCCTCTCCAAACCACTTCAGTCAGGCAATAAATCGTAGCGCTTTGAAAGCTCCAACACTGTTTATACAAAGAGCAGTCTGCTGTGTCCCTCCTGCTGTGTCCCACTCTAACACTCTTCTTTTCCAACTTTGCAGATTGATGTGGAGGGCAAGCAGGAAGTGGTGCTTTACGACCAGTGCACGCGAGACCCAGACAAGCTGACATCAGACAGTTTCACCTCTGTACTCCTTGACAAACTGGAGAACTGCTTCCACTACGTGTCTCTACTGGCAGGTACAGTTTCCAGCCACTTTCTATCCTGGCTTTGAACGTCCTCGACATTACATTAAAAAGAGAAGTTACAACTTTCCTTCAATTAATACTCGCAGAGTGATCAATGCTGTTTGAGATGTGCTTAGAGGTTTGTCGGATTAAATCCATCAGTGATGCAAATTCATTTATTTTCAAGGAGATATTGCAGACATTCAGGGCTCAGTCTTTGTTTGTTCGTGAAAGGTGTTTGTTAGGGCATCCTGTTAGCGTGGTGAATTGATCCAGGATCCATAGGCAACAGAAAGGTCCTAAATTGAATCCCAGGTCTGTGTTGTTGTCCTCAGGCGGGATAGAGGTTCTACAACTTGCCCTGACGAATCAGAGGAAAATTAGCTGGGCTACAGATGGAGGTCTCTGTGCATGGCTGTCAGTTGAGCAGAAGGTTTTGTCTTTGATGGCTACTGTCGAATCCCCCACTATCAACATTGTAGGGTTTATCATTGACCAGAAACTGAATTGGACCAGCCATGCAAATACTGTGACTATAGCATCAGGTCAGAGGCAAGGAATACTGCAGTGAGCAACTCCTGACTCCTAGAAGCCTGTCCACCATCTACAAGACACCAGTCAGGAGTGTGGTGGAATACTCCCAATTTGCCTGAATCAGTGCAGTTCCAACAACACTCAAGCTTGGCATCATTCAGAGCAAAGCAGTAGCCCATTTGATTAGCATCACATCCACAAACATTCACTTCTTCCTAATACCTACAAGAAGCACAGCAGAAGTTCATCAACGGTGCTTGGATAGCGCCTTCCGAACCCATGATCCCTATCATCCAGGTCAAGGGCGGCAATTACATGGAAAATTGCCAGCTGCAAGTTTCCTTTCAAGCCACCCACCATTTTGGCTTGAAGAAGTATGGCTGTTCCTGAGTGTCACTGGGTCAAAATCCTGGAAATCCCTCCCTGACAGCGTTGTGGTCTACCTCCAGCACATGGACTGCACACTACCACCTTTTCAAGGGCATCTAGAGACAGGCATTAATTACCAGCCCAATCAGCGACCACCCACATACTATGAGTGAATGAAACAAACTATCCTGCCCGATGTATGACTTACACATGAAAACAACCATTTGAGAAGGAGATAGAGTACATCTGTGCCTCAAAAGAGGGGAAAAAATGTTTCAAGAGGGATGGATGAACGGAGGGCAAAAAAAACCATATTTCTTTTAGAGGGAATTTAATCATTTAAAAAATTTCTCCTTGGTTGGAGAGAGTATGACATGACACATGTTAAAGTCAGATATGGAAGAGAAGCAATTAAGTTATTGAACTTGTAATGCTGCTGAGGCCTGACCCAGTAAATCTAAAGAATTGAATTCAAATCCCACCTTAGCGTCTTGCGGATTTTTGTTCAGTTTTTGTTAAGCCGCGGAAGAAAACTCAACAGGAAAAGAATGGGCAAGTTTTCATTAACCACCCTCCCCTCCCTAAGATTTTGTCACTGAGCGATTCAACAATTTTTCTACTGTATCTGAAGATGATGAAATGGTGGAGGGGCAATGCCACAAAGGCCTGGTAACCACAGGAAGGGTGTTGGCTACAATTTGCCTGAACTAAGATGTGGTCTCCTGCGGTCAAGTACCACCAATGTAGTCACTTCCTAAAGCAACCAGGAATGTTAGTCTTAACTCCATCAAAGTATTGTCCCGCACCTCCTCCAAGCTGAGTTTTACATCGGCCTCAGATGAGGTGGTACTTCCTTAGGCTGACCAGAACTCACAATTCTTACAGGGCAGTCACAGTTTTTAGTCAGATGTCCTGTTGTCCTGACAACCTTCTTGAAGTAGTTCAAATGATCTGTTTTTCACCTATTGTCTTCTTGTCACGTATAAACTGGGCTATCCCTGTTTTCTTGTAAAACACTCCTCAAGTCAGATTGCATTGCATGCAATGAACCTGTGTCCCTTCCTGCACAGCCCCATTGACATCTCCAACTTGCCTCCATCTCTTTGGCTTTTACGGCCCCACTGCTGCTGATGCCCATGGAACAATTTGTGGAATAAAGTTGCCAAATCTGTTTGGACGTATTCTGGAAGACATTATCAGATGACTTCTCGCCTTCAACTGCCCTTACCCCAGAATGGTCAACCAGCACGTGACAGAGAGCCCAGCCTTTCCAGTGTGCCCTGGTTTTGACTCTTGAACAGCTGGTCACCCTATACTTGCTCCAATGATAGAATCACATTCTGAGTTTAGACGGTGACTAAAGCAGAATTTCAGACCCTTTGGGAGCAGAACTCAATCTTGTGTGACTAATTGCTCCAAAGAAAGGGACTGTCCCAAACTGTTAATTAGTGGCTGGCATGGAGAGCACTAATTGTTGGCTTGTAAAAGCAAGGGTCAGTTTGAAATTGGTTGTAATGACAGGGTATGATGTTCCCCTTTCTTATGTGAGGTGCGTGTTTGTGTCTTTATGTTGCTAACACCATAATGCCTGGTGTATGGGTCATATGATTAAATGAAATCATTGGGATGAGGGTAAGAGGATGTTTCAGCTGATGCAGTTGGGGCCAAGATGATGGCCTAACCTAACTGCAGAGCAATCGGGAACTCAGTTGGGCTTTTCCAAAGAACTCTGCCCCAGAACATGGAGCAGAGCGTTCTTCCAGCTTATTCAATTAAATCATATTTGAACTGTATATTAACTTGCTTCCATAACCTTTCACACCCTTACTTAAAAAACCTAACAATCTTGACTTTTACATTTTTAATGAGCCTAGCCACATAAAGTTCTTGGGGGTGGGGGTGTCATGAAGTACTGTGAATGGTTGGATCCAAACGTAATAGTCCTCCCCCAATCTGTCTGCCATGTATTTTAATGGTCACCTCATTGTATCAAACCCCCATCCTGATTAATTGAACCCCCATCAACTGCAGTACTATCACAATTCTGTATCAATCGATAAAATGATAGTGAGGCTTCGGACTAATGGTAACTCTCTTTTTCACTGAGTCACAGGGTGTAGGGTTTGAAGCCAAATAGTCCTGGACATTGCCACTGTGGCTCCATTCTCTGAATTCTGCAGCGTTGTCAAGTGTTTTCTTGGTAGATCTGGGTAGCCACTCTATACCATTTGTTAATTGCAGTCCCTAATATCCTCCTGTCACCCGGGACCAAAGTGGGGATTGGCTGGTAGAGAGATTGTTACAGCGATATAAAAAGCAGAGTTTGTCAAACAGCCTGTCAGCTTGTTCATCAACCTGCAAGTCCTTCCACTGCTCCACACTGTTGGCCAAAGCAAGTGTGTGCAGGTATACCAGAAAGTCGTGAAATACTCGTGGAAATCCCATCTGCCAGACTTTCTACCAATCAGACCCCTTCATCCCTGAGCGAGACATTTTCATCTGGGATTGCATTCTTTGTAAATATTTAAATACAGATCTAACTAATACATGAAGAGTAACAATTGCTGGGAGCTTTCATTAGGCTGCACTGGGTGGGATGGGAAACGGATCTCAATGGCTTGCCTTTTGGTGCAATCACTTCAAATTTTTCTATACCATTAGCAGCCATTAGGATCACCTTTATTTGACACCTTGTCTTTACTGCAGGCCTCTCTGGACATTGTGTCTTCCAGTTAACTGTAACATGTGAGTCTGTCTGGATCTGCAACATGCCAGTGGCACACTGTACCACAAGAGTGATAACACAAATATATAATTATCCACATTGGATCTGTTCCCTCTTCTGAGGGGAGTTCTTCTTAGCCAGGAAATGAAAACGGTGGGCAGGAAGGACAGAATTGGTTTGGAGATGATACTGCATGGGTGGGATTCATTAGACTGTCTGCCAATCGCTGTAGTTCTATGAGAGAGCATTGATGGAACATTGTGCAGGAGTAATGAGAGGTTAACATTACATTCACGCTGCCTGTTTGACCATCACATGGCCCAAGTTCTATTAGGTGTGTTCTGTTGTATTAGGTCTGTTCAGGCTCTGCATTTCAAGTTAGTCATTTGGATCTTTTAACAGTCAAACCTATTGGTGGGGATGAGGGATGTAGATCTTAACTTTGTGTATTAGTAGAAAGCAGCTAATAGCAAGATGTGGCAGCTCATCTCTCCCAATATTCATTTCTCATTACCTTCATTGGGAGAGATGCATAAAAGAGCTCTCATGTTTTAATCATGGGATGTAGGCACCAGTGCCATTTTGTTGCCCATCCTTAATTAACACTGAGCCATTTTAGAGGGCTGTTAAGAGATTACCTGGGTTTGGAATTATATGTAGGGTAGACTGAATATGGTCAGCAAATTTCCTTCCCTAAAGGACATTAAGAATACGTCTTTACGATAATTGGTGATAGTTTCATGGCCACCATCACTGAGGCTAGCTTTATATCCCAGATTTATTAATTGAATTTAAATTCCACCAATGACCATGGTGGGATTTGAACGCATGCCCGCAAGAAAATATGATCTGGATCTCTGGATTACTAGTCTAATGACATTACCATGACCTCACCATCTCTCTTCCAAGCTGGTTGATTGGCACCTCTTTTACACCACTGAACAAAGCTGAGAGGATACATAATCAATGTGTTAGTCAGTATTGTGTGCACATCTGGTGCCAAATAACAGCACAAATACAACAACTGCTCATATAGAATGGAACCTCACAATTGTAAGCCTGTATCTTCATTCCAGCTGTTAGCTTGGTTGCAATGCTGGCAAACTTGTGGAAGAAGGAAGTTTATTTTCTGTTACTAATTTGTGTTTTTTTTCAAGAAATGCTGTCTTTAGGTGTTAAAAAAATTATCATTGCTTGTTTCGTTTAGCTTATTAGCAGCTTCTTCAAAAATGCTTGCTATTTCTTTCAGATTTGTGAGAATGAAATGTTTCTGTGACCAATTTCTGCATGGGAAGGTTTTGCTGGAATCAGGAGATGCTCTGAAATGTTGTTAAATGTATGAGGCAAATGTGGGATTGAAGGTCAGGGTGGGACTGAATCCATT